ACTCAAGTTTATGAGTGGTACAAAGCCTTTCAGGACGGTCGTACGACCGTCGAAGACATGCCGCGTTCTGGACGACCTTCGGCCTCTACCACCGACGAAAACATTGAAAAGGCAAAGGAAATCGTGTTCCAAAATCCTCATGTGAGTGTTAGAGAGATAGCACGAGAGCTAGGCATCGGTCGTGAGAGCTATCCGCCGTAAACGGCCTCAATTGTGGAAGGATAATTCATGGATTTTTCATGACGATAATGCTCCCTCGCACCGAGCCAACATTATCAACGATTTTAAGGCCAAAAATTCAATAAATACCATCGAACAGCCACCGTATTCACCTGATCTTGCACCGTGTGACTTTTTCCTGTTTCCCAAACTCAAATTACCACTCAGAGGAACGCGTTTTGAATCCATATAAGACGTAAAACAGAATTCGCAGAGGGAACTCAAAGCCATACCGGAAAGCGCCTATAAAAAATGTTTTGATGATTGGAAGAAACGTTGGCATTTGTGTATCGCTTCTAATGGAGCATATTTTGAAGGAGATAAAATAAATATTGATGAAGATTAAGAATTTTGCGTTTTATTTAAAATTTCCGGAAGCTTTTCGGTCACAATGTATATTGTTAAATTTGAATGTATTAAGATACTTTCCGATATGGCAAGCGAAAGAAAATAGTAAGAATATTATTTGCCTTTTGCTTTAAGCTTAATTGAGTAGTGAAACTTATTTAAACAATTTTCTAATGGCATTCATCAATTGAAATAATAAATAATGAATGAATATTTACAACAAAAAATTATTTTAGAATTTTGAATTCTTGAAACAAAAATTAAAAAATAATAAACAATGATTTTCTTTAACTCAAGCAACAACTCAATGATTTTATTTGATATAGAATTACCTTCAGGGGGTCAAAGCACTTCCGCAGGCATATCATGGTCTCACTTACTTCTAATACCAAATATTTTCTTTAGGGTTGCGCAGCAGATATTATCAGCCCTCGACATTATAATAACATATATCTATAGAGTATTATAAATAAATTCAATTTATATTTTTAATAATGTGATTTTTGAAAGTACATTTAAAAAAAAACCTATTTAATTTAAATAACTATTTTTAGGAATATAACTAAACCCCAAAGTCATAATAGTCTATAGTCTTGCAAATCACATAACAGATGTTGACCTTTCGTTTGCCGTTCAGTATGTACAGAATGGATTAGTATGCTGCATATCTGAAGCATGTCTTATGAAAATATTCTAAGAATAGAAAAAGCATTTCACTGAATTTCCAAATATTTAATTGTAAACAATTTCCACATTATTCATAAACTCACACTTCTACACATCCACACAAACGTAAACATAAACAATTTTCCATATTATTTAGTTTTTCCCGCAATTGATACTATATATAAAAGAAGTCGATTCTTACAGCTTCCTTTGTAGTGTTTATAAAATTTATTATTAATAATAAAAATATTTATGAGAGACGTTTAAAATAATTTTTAATCAGATTTACATATTTAAATGCACACTCATGATTTTATATTTAAATATTAAAATAAAAAATAAAATAAAATTTCTTTGTTCTTTCAGGAGGAGAGAAAAGCAAATGGACGTCTGATAGCCATAATTGTAGCGTTTTTAGTTATATTCTTGGCTATATATCACGCTTGGATAAGAAAGTCTGCCGTACTAGCTGGGTAAGTGCTTCTATAATGTTCATATTACTGGCTTGTTAATATTAATATTACTGTAATAGCAATATTTAATTATTTATATTATTTATATTATTTAATTATAGGATATACTTGACTATGATATAAAGCTTAAATATTTTATTCAATATTATAAAATATACACATAAGCAGATATTTCGATCAGTTTGTTTTTATTTCGCATAAATTTTTTAAATGACTCCATTTTTTTGCGATCAATATATAATATATATATATAAATATTGAAAGAGTTGAGAATAAAAAGTTGATCCATATATATATAAATATTGAAAGAGTTGGGGAAAAAAGTTGATCCTTGCAGTTGATATTGATTATTGATATTGATATTAATTATTGGATTACACATATTTATAACTCACAGGTGTTGACAAAATAAATTAAAAAATAAATAGGTTTGAGGAAAGCTTAAACCACCATGGTTATCAGAATTGAAGATATACACAAAGACTTAACAGTCGAGAGTGCAGAAGTACATTAAAGAAAACGTGCTGAAAGTGTTTGATGCTCACACTAATTCAAAACTGCAATATCTTAATACGAATTAAATATATATTTCGTTAGGAAGATATGTTGGAACTCAAACCACACTTTTGTAAAATCACCTGAATTATCATAATTCAATGAAACACTTGTTACAGTGGATCAGTCAATGAGTAAAACTTCAACTTTACATACCATACTATCATATCTCATTTTATCAAATAAAGGAGAAGAATAAGACAACGGCTTAAGACTCTTAATTAATTTTTCCTATAGCCTGTGATAGTTTTATTCTATATGAGTGCTCTAGACTATATTAAACCAAGATCATTATTTGATATTACTGGCTTGTAATTTTTTTATTTATTTCTTACGTGCTCAATGGAAGGTACTATCTTCCATATGATTTTTTGTGGGATGATGACTTCAGTGATTTCCCATTGCCTTCTGAAGGGTTTAAAGTTTTCCGTGTTAATCTCAGCCGCCTTTATCATAGGGAACAGTCGCTGTGTGCAGCTGCCAAAATGTTTGGAACAGATGCTGCGTTTTGACTCACGGATGGACACGGGCATTTTTTCCATGTGTTCTACAACGATGAAGGTTTTATAGTGCCCATGCTCGCGTTGTTTTTTTTATCGCCTCTTACGATAAGGTGAATGATCCTGTAGTGTTATTCTATCCCTAGCACTACACCGCAGTTAATTTGAAGTTTCCTTCCTAGTTAAGACATTTACCATTTACCATTATTAATTTATTGCATATACATTTTATTTTTATAATAAAAATTATTCACATTTCTTTTGCAGTATACTTGTTCCTGCATTTATAATGATATCTTATGGAAGTTGGGTCGTCGTACAGACTAAAAGAGATAAACAGAAGAAAGCACTTTTCGTAAGTATTTGGATTGTAGCTTCCTAAAAGTTTTATATAAATATATATATTATTATTTATTTGATTGTAGGAGAAACATTTAAAAGAGGTGGCACAAAAAAATAAAGAAGAATTAGAGCAAAAGGCTAAACTGAAGCTTGCAAAAAAGTCTGAAAATAAATCTTCAACGGAGACGACATTACATTTTGAAAATGAAGTGCAACGAAAGGAGAAGTCTCAACTTAACAATGATAAAAATAATTCCAGCCTAACAGAATCCACAAACAACAGCAACAGTTCCTCGCTCAATAGCGATCACAGAAAGCACCGTAAGCGGCGTGAAAGACAACGTCATGCGGCGGCGGATAATGTACAAATTCTAATACATCAAACCGCAAATAATGAACTGCGCATTAAAAGACCAAGTATACGTCAGAAAATATTTGGACAAAAGCCCACACAACTCCATTACGACTATGTGAGGTCCATGAAGGCCAAGGACACATCAGCAACAAATGCATCAGCCACTCTAACACAAACGAAGAAGAAAAAAGTTTTACTACGCGTGGATGCATTATCAGGGCCCCAATTGGTACGCACCGGCTCAGCGCCATAAACTAAGGAAAATGGCCAATGGAGGTCGGCCATTTCAATGGCAATGCGTATCGGCACGTAAACAGGAAAAAGTTTAAAATTAGTACGACAGGAAATCGAAGCGAAAAGCGAAATAAATTCGCAGTTAATGCGATTTTAACGCGCTTTGACGCTGGAACTTGTGTGTGAATGGAATTAAAGAATTAATTTGTTAAACATTTTTTGCATATGTTTATTTATTTTATTTTTTAACAAATTGTATGGTTAATTTTTTTGTAAATATATTGTATATTTTTAATTAAATTGTTTTCTTTGCAATTTTTTAGAAACAAATATAAATTAAACTTCAAAAGTTAATTGAAAGCAGCCTGTTTTTTGCTCGGTATTTCTTATTTCGTTCTCTAAATGACGTTAAACACAAATTTTCATTTCATTTTGTAAAAATTTAAATAAAGTCGTATTTTTATATAAAAGTCAATTAAATTGTTTGGTTGTTATTTTAATCAAAATCAAAAAGTTTTGTTTAAACGAGAGAATTCGTTCTTGTT